AGTGCAGCACTTAACCCTTTGTGCCACCCATGGAGATTATATGTATTTACTCACATAAGTACATACACGTAAGGAGCTCTGGTGGGCCATGGTTACATGTTCGACTACTAACTGGAAAGTTGACACTTTAAACACATCCAATTGCTCTGTGGTAGAAAGGACCCAGTGGTCTGCAACCCATAAAGATCACATGCTATAAAACCCAATGGATCTACTCTGTCATATTGGGCTGATATGAGTCAGAAAAGGAACTATGTGGTTAAAGCACGCAGCTGCCAGTCATTTCACAGGACAAAAAAGGAGTCAGTCAACTTCTGGAAAGATTTACAGCCTTGGAAACCTTATGGGGTAGTTCTACTCTATCCTATAGTGCCATTCGGCATCAGATTCAACTTGAGGGTAGTGGGTTTATGAGTCAGAGACAACTTGAGGGCACACAGCTACAAGATAGACATACACATATTCCATTATGTATGTAACATATGTTGTTGTTGTTGTTTGCCATCGAGTCGGCCCCGACTCATAGTGACCCCTCCTTGGGTTTCTGAGGCAGTATCACTACGGAAGTAGGATTGCCCAACCTTCCTTCCGAGGAGTGGCTGGTGGGTTTGAACCACCAGCCTTCTGGTTAGCAGTCAAATGCCTTAGCCACTATGCTACCAGAGCTCCTATGTAACATATAGTAACATATATATAACACATATGGTAAGACACACACATGCACATAGAAACTATTCAGTTGTTAGAAACTGCAAATATATATTTTTTTAAATATCTGTGTTTGCCGAGCTCCAGTCTCAGCTGTGGGTCTCTGGAGGGAGAGGTGGTGTCAGTGAGATGAAGGAGACACACTCACACAAGATGAAGATGTGCCCCACATAATGAGGTGGCCTTATTTATTTTATATTTTACATGAGATAATGACAAAGCAAAATGACAAACCCACAATTCCAGGTACATGGCTGTGTGCTATTAACTTTCAAAAACTTATAAAACTATTAAACTTCTAAGCTAAACTTACGTCTTATCTTATCTAACTTATCTATCATTAACATTATATAAGTAAAATGTGCTAGACAATGGGGTTAACTAAAACATGAAAAAATGGTCAGGGTGAAAAATACAACATGGGGCCAGAACGTGTGACCCAACCTTGTGGTTGGCACCATTCTCTGAATTACCACCAGCCTGGGGGTGCAGATGGGTCTACATAGTCCAGCAACATATACATGTGGACTTTTAGTTTCTTAAAATAACTGTTCCATTGCTTGATTAGAGTATGTCTCTGTGCAGTAGTTTTACATCTAGGCCCTGATCGTTTTAATCTCTCTAAGAAAGGGAGAGGAGCTCTGGTAGCATAGTGCCTAAGGCACTTGACTGCTAACCAGAAGGCTGGCGGTTCAAACCCACCAGCCACTCCTGGGAAGAAAGGTTGGGCAATCCTACTTCTGTAGTGATACTGCCTCGGAAACCCAAGGAGGGGTGGCTATGAGTCGGGCCGACTCGACGGCAAATAACAACAACAACAAAGAAAGGGAGAGAGTTAAAAGGAACTCTTTTTCCATCTACCCACACCATTCTTTTATCTTCTATGTATGCCCCAGTATAAGGAAGAGGAAGGTCAGGCCATCGGGAAGGTTTAGGCTCCTCTCCCTGAGGAGGATACCAAAGTCTACCATTAATTCTATAAGCTACATTAGGAGGAGGCTTAAGTGTAGGAGGCAGCCACTTAGGCCAAGGTTTCTTCCTATCAGGAGTAATCCCTTTTCTATGTTGTGCTGCAGGGGTTGGTATTGTAGGAGGTTGAGTAGCCATGAGATCTTTCCACCAATGTGAATTCTCAATGTCTTTAGGATTCCCAGGGGCCTTTCCAGCTCTGGCTCATCATGGGAATTTCTAGGAAAACCGGAGTTTTGGAATTGGAAATCAGAGAGTCACCTGGAAGGTGGCCTCATTCATGGGAAACATGAAAATCCTTTTTGGACCCTCTGGGATGAACCAGAAGGAGCATGATCACCATAAAAATTATTGTAGCAATTAAGATAACGGACCAGAATACAGTTGAAAGTAAAGGTGGAATTGGCTTCCGCCCAAGACTCTTGACAGCTGGAGCTTTGTCAAGCAGCAGTCGTAGAGGTCTGGGCATCACCATGTGTTCAAGATTTTGAGTACAGAGTGCTTTTTGAAAATTTCCAAGAATGCAAGTGAGCCTGCAGTTCCATGGCCATGCACTGATATATGGGGTGATTATTAAAGAAAACTGAACTTCACAGCTGCCTCCATAGCTGACTCATTAGCTTACTCAAATGCCTGGAATTTAGTTTTGCCCTCAGAATATTGTGGTCCCTCCTGCTCACATCAGAAGAGAGTTTGAGGGCTCAGTAGTGTGCCCATGTAACTAAGTTAATATGATCATCTCCCCTGATAAGATTTTTTAAATCTTTCTTCTTTAGCACAGCATGCTGAAGACATTTTTCTTTTTTAAAATATTAGCAATAAACACATCTCTAAAAATAGTTTTTCCTCCATCTCTGGACCAGAACGTAATTTCTCTCCACAGAGACTGAGTATACATAATATGATTCTCTTTCCACCTTTCTAAACACATTTCATTTATATAAAAGTTTGCATGCTGATGTTCATTTTCCTGATTTTAATGAAATATCATTCTAAACATATTCATATATCCTCTGGTGTTTTAATTTATAATGTATTTTAAAGACTCTTACATATATATCTGCTCTATTTTTATTGATGATTGAAGAAAAGTGTTATGCCTAGTTTATTCAGTGACCTTTTGATAGGCATTTAATTGTTTCTTATATTTCTTATCATAGAATTGCCCCATAATGATTGGCTTTATGTATGTGAGTAAGTATATTAAATGAAAGTGAATCAGTAGCTGATACAGTATTAAATTACAGATGTTGATAAGATTCCATAAGAGATTGCATTTATGAAACACCAATGAAAAATGTATAGGTTTGGTGCTTTACCATATCTTTTAATATTGCCTGTTCATAGAACTTTATCTATCCCCCCCAAGAAAAATTACATCTGATAGGTAAAACAAATATCTGGCTGGAATTTTAATTTCAATGTTCTTAACTATAGTGAAGGAGCGCTGGAGGCATACTGCCTAAGGCATTTGACTGCTAACCAGAAGGTTGGCCTTTCAATCCCACCAGCCACTCTATGGAAGGAAGACTGGGCAATCTACTTCCGTAAAGATATACTGCCTTGGAAACCCAAAGAGGGTCACTGAGTCAGAATCTACTCAATGGCAGTGAGTTTGGTTTTTAGTTTAATGAAAAGAAACATCTTTTGATGTTTACTTTTTCAGATAAGAAAAAAGTCCCTTATGATTGTTTTTTTTTTTTTTTTTTGCCCATTGTTATTCATTTGTGTTGACTTTTTTGTTTTGTTTTCAAGGTGTAATGTTAAAATCCATTTGTTTGGAAAACATATATCTATCATCTTAAAAAAAAAAAAAATGCTCACTGCCGTGGAGTTGTTTCCAACTCATGGTGACCCTTCCTTGGGTTTTACGAGGCAGCATCTCTATGGAAATAGATTGTCCAATCTTCTTTCCTAGAAGTGGATGGTGGGCTTGAACCACCAGCCTTCCGGTTAGCAGTCAAATTCTTTAGGCACTATGCCATCATGGGTGTTATAACTATATTTTACTATTTGGTACTTATTTTATTATTTTTATTATACTACTATTTGTGGAGTAGCTGTGATAATTTACATAAAACAATTTGTTTAGTTTCTGGCATGTGTTGTTCTTTTGAGGTGCCATTGAGTTGGGTCTGACTCATAGCAACCATATATGTAAAAGGACAAAATATTCCCCAGTCTTTTGCCATCTTCACAATTTTTGTTATGTTTAAGCTCATTGTTTCAGCTCCTATATCAATCCACTTACTTTACCAAGAATGATGACTTTCTCACAATATTAGTCCCTCCTAATTACAGGTCCAAGTAAGTGAGATGAAGTCTCTTCATCCTGAGTGCTAAGGACCATTCTAGATGTATTTCTTCTAAGAAAAAATTGTTCATTCTTCTGGGAGTCCATGATATATTCAATATTCTTCACCAATATCATAGTTTAAAAGTATCAGTTCTTCTTTGATTCTCTTATTCATTGTCCAGCTTTTACATGCATATAAGGTGATTTGACAATACCACAGCTTGGGTCAGGCATACACTTTGCAATATGGTTAGATATAAATAAACATCTGTTTCCTTTTTATTTCCACATCTTTTACTTGAAGTTGGGTTATAAAACACTCAAGAATATGCATGATGAGATTTATATTGAAATAATTGTGCTGTGACTGAGTTTGAGATGCTTGAGGTCTTTTCTTGCTCTTTACTGTGTAAGCTAGGAACCTGAAATTTGAAAGGATATTGTCACTTATGACTAATGTTTTCCTTCTCCTTTTCTTTAAATGAAGCTTCAATCTTTCCTGTGTCTTAAGAAAATACATGGAAAGAACCAGAAAAGTGATGCGTGAGTAAAGAATGTGAGTTTTGACAATATGGTATGATAAAACTTTATAACTGGACTACCAGGTACTAGAACTATGAGAACACTTTCAAGTAAGTTAGTCACAAATTTTCTCTATCTTGCAGTACACTGCTTCTAATATTGATAGGTGCTTTCTGAAAACTGAGGAAACACATACAGCTCAAGAAAATGCTCGTGCTAAATCACTAACATTAATGAGTATTATATTTGAAAAGCCACTTACTTTTTAAATTATTTTTCTACTACAACCTAAAATTCAATGAATTAAATAGATAATTATGAATTTCAATTATTCATAAAAATCAATAGACAGAAGGGTAAATTATTAGCCATTGGTAAACAAAAATTCCCTGATCAGGCATGGGTATGTGAGCTCGAAATGCAGTATTCATCTCATGAAATTATTGCCTTTCTTCCTGCAGATTACCTCTTTCTAAACTCTACTTTCCCCACATCTACTGAAACAATGCAGCAAAATAATAGTGTAACTGAGTTCATTCTATTAGGATTGACACGGGATCCTAGGAGACAGAAAATGGTGTTCATAATCTTCTTAATTTTCTACACTGGAACTTTAATGGGAAATTTTCTCATTATTGTGACCATCAAGTTCAGCCGGACACTTGGAAGTCCCATGTACTTCTTCCTGTTTTATTTGTCCATTGCTGACACCTGCTTTTCAACTTCCACAGCCCCTCGATTAATTGTAGATTCTTTCTCTGAAAAGAAAGTCATATCCTATAATGAGTGCATGACTCAAATCTTCGTACTGCATTTATTTGGTGCTATGGAGATCTTTGTCCTCATCCTCATGGCTTTTGATCGCTATGTGGCCATCTGTAAGCCCTTGCGTTATCCAACAATTATGAGACGACAGGTCTGCATCATCTTGATTGTATTTGCTTGGATTGGGTCTTTTTTACATTCTATAGCTCAAATTGCCCTGGCCCTGAAACTACCCTTCTGTGGACCCAATTTGATTGATCATTATTGTTGTGATTTGCAACCATTACTAAAACTTGCCTGTATGGATACTTACGTAATCAACCTACAGTTGGTGTCCAATAGTGGAGTGATTTGCTCAAGTAGCTTCTTGCTTCTGATAATCTCATACTGTATTATCTTGCATTCACTGAGAAATCACAGTGCAGAAGGGAGGAAAAAAGCCCTTTCCACATGTACTTCTCACATCATTGTAGTCATCTTATTCTTTGGTCCATGTATATTCATATATACACGTCCACCAACCACTTTTCCCATGGACAAAATGGTGTCAGTGTTTTATACTATTGCTACACCCTTTCTTAACCCTCTCATCTACACTCTAAGGAATGCAGAAGTTAAAAATGCCATGAGAAAATTATGGAGTATCAAAATTACCTCAGAAAGCAAATGACAAGATGAGGGTAAGATGATATATTCAATAATGGGGCTGAATCTGTAAGGACATCGAAAATGATAGTGTGTGATTACTGCCTAACATCCAGTTGTATGTAAACCAAAACCAAGTAAATCCCACTGCCATCAAGTTGATTCTGATCATAGTGACCCAATAGGTTTTCTAGGGCTGTACATCTTTACTGAAGCTAATTGACTCCTATCTCTCACCAATAGGGTTTTGAACCCACCAAACTTTTGATTAAAAGTCCAATACCTTAACCACAGCACCTCTAGAGCTTCTTATCATATGTAAGTTTGTGGGTTAACAACGTGTTTTCTAGTTTTGTATGGAAGACGAACATCTAACATCATCTTTTGTGCCAGAGCTAGAAACAGTGTCAGAAGAATTCAGATAATTATGGACCAAGCTGATGTCAGCACAACCCAATATACTTCAGAGATCTCTGTTTTGACATCACTGACCATGAACTATATATCATAATTCTGCCAGTATACTCTTTGTTTTGATAAGAAAGATATTTATGCAATCACAACCCTGCACAGTTGTGAGAATCTATAAACAAAGTGCAACCAGTTATCTGTGATCTTTAATTCTGTCTATAATACATTTTGAATTAGGTATGCAACTTCCCCTTGGACACCTCCAAGTCAAACAAACTCAGTCTATCAACATCATCCATTCTATTTTATCACTAGTTTTTCTTTAAAGAGTACCATGATTCTGAATCAGAGCATTTTTGTGTAGTACTGATACTCTAAATTATTTTTCATTTTTCATAAAATAGTAAGATAATAGAAGGGAATATTGAGTATAGAATTACTGTCTCAAAAATAGCTAAGACTAAAATGGACCTCCCACACACACAAATTATTTAGTAATTCCTGCAAAATAGGACATATATATTTAATCCCAGGGTCATAACTTTTATGCTTATGACTGGAGGAAATGTAATTGAAAGGAGTAGACTACAAACATATGTGAAAATTCAAGATTGATAGGTTTTTACACTATATAAATGGGATCATACTGGCAATAGCAACTCTAAACATTAAATATCTAGCTTAGGAGATAGTGATTTCATGTTAATGGGAGAAGAAACATTAGGAAAAGGAAGTTGAGGATGGTTCCACAAAATAAGGAAGGTAATTAGTGTCTTTAAATTGTATATAAAGAAATTGGTGAAGCAGTGTATATTCTCTCTGCTGTGTATAGTCTTAACAACAACAAAAATAAAAATAAAATGAATTATACAAAAAACTTTGATATCTTTGAAGGTGAAGGAAATTGTATTCCCTGATAAATATCTAAACAGATTTTCACCACATGACACTAATTTGCTGTCCATGTTAATGGCCGTAGTTTTCTGGGCATTTTCTCTCTCTTCTCTAACTTTCTCTAACTTTACTATCTATATTTGCATTATCCTGACTTAGGTACTGTTTCTCTGGAAACCCAAACAATGCTACAATGCTACAATCAGAAAACTCATCAGTGTTCATATAGTTTTCTGAAGAATACCATACACAATAAAAATAATTAAAAACAAACAAGCAAAAACACTGCAGTCAACTCAATTTCAGCTCATAGCAAACTCTTTTGGTCTTCCAACATGGTAAATATTTATGGAAGTAGATTGCTCTATCTTCCTTCACATGGGATGGCTTATGTGTATAAACTACCAACCTGCTGGTTAGTAGTCAAATACCTGAGGAACTAAACCACCAAAGCTCTAGTAAGAAAAATCATGTTAGCTGGGATTAGTATTATATCAACCATCAGGAAATCTGTGTTGAAGGACAAAGAGAAGCAAAGATAGACATTTAAAATCCAAATATGGATCACTACCAAAAGTAACCAAGGTGTGTAGAAATAAATAGAATAAAATCAGTGAACTCAAGATCATTACTGAGTCCAGGTTATTTTTGCCAGAGATTAACTTTGTTGGAGTAGCTGGTTGTAGAATGGGAGACAAAAAAGAATAAAAAGTAAATAGTGATATTCTTTGTCCTGTACACACTCCAACAGAACAAGAACATATCATTAACAACCAACTTGGCCTTACAGACATCTTCAGAGCACTACACTCAACAACCACACAATACACATTCTTTTCCAGTGCACATGGAACATTTTCCATGATAGACCATATGTTAGGCCATAAAACAAGCCTTCATAAATTTAAAAACATTGAAATACTGCAAAGCATCTTCTCAGATCACAATGCTATCAATTTACAAATCAACAAGAGGAAGATCAAAAGAAAAAGAGTAACACATGGAAACTGAACAACACCCTCCTTAAGAAGTTGGGTAAGAGAAGAAATAAAAAGTGAAATTGAAAAATTCCTTGAATCAAATGAGAAAGAAAACACAACATACCAAAATCTTTGGGACACAGCAAAAGTACTAATCAGAAGCCAATTTACAGCAATAAATGCTCACATCAAAAAAAGAAGAAAGAGCCAAAGTCAACACTTTAAATCAACATTGCCAACAATTAGACAAAGAACAGCAAGAAAAGCCTACAGTCATCAGAAGAAAGGAAATGAATCAAGATTCGAGCAGAAATCAATGAAACAGAAAATAGAGAGACAATAGAAAAAATAAAAAAGACAAGAAGTTGGTTTTTTGAAAAGATCAACAAAATTGACAAACCACTGGCAAATTTAACAAAGGAAAAGAGGGAGAGAATACAAATAA